ACAGCATTCTGTTAATAGCGCTAATATAAGGAAGACATTAACATTACAGATGATACTCAGTTGTAGGCTTACATAAAACAAGGACTGGACATTAAGCTACTTTGACCTGTGTGTATTGAAGCTTTTCAGGAGTGTGTGAAGGTTACTAGGACAAGTATGGTTCCTTTCCATCACAGTGGGTCTTCATGAACGACCACATTTCTTTCTTTCCCACCAGAGCTCTTCCTGCACTATGAAGTCTCTCTACAGGGGGTTTACAAAAGCCCAAGATTCCCACAAGCCAAAATGAGTTCAAGAGCCTTACAAGACCAATGGCGCAACTCAGAACCTAACAGGAGATTGAGAAAAAAAAAATATCTTACACTTTCATATTGTTTGTAGAGGGGTTTTTTTTAAGACCACAAAGTGATTGTCTTGTAACAGTATATTGTTTAAATTGCTGTACTTTGTACACCCCAGCACTGGTTTTACTGAATGTGGATAAATGGATAACAGTCTGAAAATACCAGTGATACCAGAGCAACTTAACTGGGGTGGCATGTATGTTAGGATTGTAGTTCAGACTGAATTTTTGTGATCCCTCATAGATAAGGACAAAAGTGTCCTGCTTGACTAAACGGGCCATCCAATAACGAACACAATGCCACTCAGAAAAATCTCTACCCAGCACAGAGTACCAAATGAGAACCTGGAGGAAACCAATAGAGGGAGGGAAAAAGAGGAATGGGAAAAGCCCACAGTATTAGTATGATCCAGTGACTGCTCAACATCACCTTACAAGCCAGTAAGAGCAAGTCAGCATACAAGAGTGACACAGTCCAGAAGAACGGGATACTGGCGTTTTTTCAGAACAGCATGAGCATGACTGCAGTTTGCCCATAACAGTGTAGTACTTATGGAAAAGACTGAATTTCATGACGGCAAAGATTACAAAGGCATAAGGGTTTTACTAGCTTGTTTTCCAGCTTTGGTTTTTGCAGCTATTAAAAATGCTTTAAGAATCTTCAGTGTATGACCAGCTATAATGCATGTGAAAATCGCACTTCCTGTAGGCTAAGGAACAGTGCTTTTGTGCCAGTTGGCAGTTAATTCCCTGAGTAATCCCAAAGACAGTCCCAGGAACGTCACTCAAATCAGTGGTGTACACCAGTTCTGCTCAGGCTTTGTGAGAGCTTTATAATATGAACGAGTAAACTAAGAAGCATAAGGTACTGCAGAAAACCTTCACCTCTGCTAGCAAGGAATAAATAATGCAAAAGACAATGACACTAAATGATGTCATCAGTTCGTTCTGTAGTGCCACAAGGATGCTCATGCTTAAATTCAGCGATGAAAAAAATCAGGTGTCATCTCTATATTCTCTCAGCTGAGAGCTGTCTCTAAGGAGATAGGCACTTTAAAAAGAAAAAATGAATTATACCCTACTTAAACACCTGCCTTAGGCTGCATTAGCTCACTCATACCACCATTTACACCCCTGAAAACCCAAATTGCCTGACCTATGCAGGAGGGACCCGGCAGCCCCTGAGCACTGAGCAGGGTAGCACCGTTCTAGTGAGCGCTGAGGGAAGAACAAGCAGCAAGCAGAAGCTAGTGGAAAGATGCCACATGCAGCTAAGGGTATGTGTCTAGCAAAAGAGCGAGATGCCTTCTGTGGATTTATACCTACCTTCCCGATTATGATTGACCTTCCCTCAGAGGCACCCCCCACCCCATTTAAAGTGGTAAGGCTGCTCTTTTCTGCAACCCTTGCCTATTATACAGGTTATAAAATTCCCAGAATTAAAATATAATAGGAAGGATTTTTGCTTCAAAACCATGCCCTTATTAACTACAGTTCAGGTAACAAGGGATCATACTCCTTCTGGAGAGACCCTTCTCTCTCCTTTGAGTGCAGACTAAGCTATAATGAATAGCCCTACGTCTCAATTTTTATTAGGATGACAGGGATGATGAAGTCAGAGATGATAAATCTTATTCTCAATGCCCACCTCTCTCCTGTGCCCTGCCTGGCCTGGACTAAAGGAGTAGGTCCCTCTGGTCTTCTGGGCAGGGAGCGCAATACTGCAATAAGCCTTTGCCTGGGCACCACAGGATAAGACAGGTTGCACACACACTTGCATACAAACCCACAGCCCAGTACACTGCACATCTTTTTGACTGTTTGTCCCAAGTGGATTTCTGAGGCAGCAATATGCAGTCTTATTCAAAAACTAACATTTACAGGGTGTATTGCAAGTGTCATAATCACCAAAGGGAAGTGGCTGGAATTTTTTTTTTAATAAAAACCAGCAAAAATCCCCAACACCAGAACAAACTTTGTTCCTCTGACAGTTTTTAGAAGAGCTGATATAATTGCACTCACTTGCAGTATGTAGAGCAGAGATTTCAAAACTGGTCTTGAGACCCCCAGCGAAGAGTGGTATTTTTCCAGTCTTTCCTCCACAAAAAAAAACTCTTTCCCCACAATCACTTATTGGAAACCAGTGAGGCAAATACGAGGCAGCAATGTAAAGGAAGGAACACAGCTGGCTTTACATTCTCCCTCAATCCCAACGAATTCCCAGCACTGACATCTTGCAGCACTCTCTGACGGCGTCACACAAGGACTCTCCTGCCTCAGCTTACGGCCAGGTACAAAAGCAGGTGCTGTAAAGTACAACTGCTGCTCGGCACTGACTGAGGATCCCCCAAACCACCTCCATTCCTGTTACACCGTGAACACTGTCGATTCCACTCTCCCCTTGAGGTACGCACCCAGCTCCAATGGCACCAATTCTGGGCTGCCATACAAACCCACCAAGAAATATCTCTGTGTTCCTATGTCCATACCTGCTCCTACTTCTGTTGACTATAATCTCTGGAAGGTACAGCAACCTTAATTCACAAGGGCTAAGGTAGTCGCAGTGCAGATTGCCAGCTCATCCCTAATGCAGAACAACAGACTAAAAAAAGATTTAGGCTCCAAGCACTCCAGTCTTGGCATAGGTGAAGCATTTATCAAAATAGTGCTTCTGCAGCAAAACTCAGATCCCAGCAATACCAAGCTGAACTGATTTCATCCAAGAAGCAAAGAATCCAGTTATAGGTATGACTTCAAACTAATAGACGATGCCAAATTTGCATTTAGTTCATACTAAGTGAACTTCTTCTAAAGTGTCTTCACTGAAGAGGTCATGCAATTATTTTTGCTTAATTTCCAAAAAGAAAACCCCACAAACATATAGCCAACTGAACTATATATCAGATTACAACAGAGCAAGACACATCAAAATCAAAAACAATTATGTAAAAAACCCAAATAAACAGGACAACCATTTTGTCAGCAACAGCTTTATAGATGTTTAGAAAGTTAGTACATAACAATGTGATAATTAATAGCCCACAGGCTCTGTAAATAGCTCCTGTAGCATCCTCCTTACTCATTGCGTCAGAGTACCAGCCTGGATAATCTTCCCTGATCCTTTCCTTTACAACATGCCTTCATAACCTTCAAGCACCTCTGCCATTTCTCACATGCATTTCTTCATATTCCTCGATAGGGTGCTCAGTTTCAAAATCATTTCAATTCTGGCTTCAAAACTCTCATTTTTTTTCTCTTGGCTCCTTATGAAGAACCTGACTTCTTTTAAATATATATACTTATATTCTTATAAATATATAAACACTGAGATACATAGACAACATACTAAGACCCCTGCCTGTTCTGCAAGCAGCGTTGCCTCACTGCAGCTCTCCTTGCACTCTCTCATTCATCTGTGCTTACCTGGAGTGTCTTATCTTAAAATATTTCCTCGGTTTATGTTTGTGGACACTTTGAACAACCATTGTCCAAGATCACGGCCTAAGAATTTGCAGATGCAAAAATAGCAAGGAAAAAGAAAGTAACTGTACAAGAGTCTGTGGAACATCAAGCAGGAGCATTTTGGAGCTGGAAGAGTACTGTAGCAGGCCTAAATGGGACAGACTTTGCATCTTTATTTATTCTCATATTAATCTACTGAGGCTACATGGAAATTATGTGTGCTAGTTGTACCTAGTGGCTGGGAAGCTGAGTTCAGATATCCTAAACTGAAAAAATAATAAATGGAAGGAAAAGCCATGGGATGATAAAGTGTCCAGATTAGAAAATGCAGAAGATGTAGCAAGGGTTCTGTGCATATAAGCTTTTGCTGAAGTCAGGGGAAGCTGGTGTGTAAAGAAAAGAAGAGGTCAGGGATTTGTGATTAAGTTTAAAAGTTAACAGGATTGAAACCTACAGCCACACTGACAATTTGTTTCTAGTTAATAGCATCATTTGAACAAAAACATACATTCTCAATTGAGCTTTTAGCTGCAGCATTTAGGTGTATAACTTCCAAAAAACTAAGACAATAACATTATTGAATAATGCTTTATTATAAGAACTTCAAAAAAACCCTACTCTCCCCCCCGAATACTCAATGAATACTGCAAAGACATCCTGTGATATGTTACCTAAAAGGTCACCAACTTCAGCACTAATAATTAGCTCATTGACCTATGAATTTTTCAATGCTTAATAATGTAATGAGGTACAGTTCTCGTTTGGAGACAGCAAATACTGCTAATTTAATAAATATTAGTTTATCGGTAGAGCAGATCTACCTGTAGACTTCACAGCTGAAAAGAGGATAGATACAGTTTCTGTTCTCTTTTCTGTAAGAAAACTGATGCATAATCAGGTAACGTGGGAAAAACAAACCCAAAGTCTCATAATCTACAATTCGGTGTCCTGTCCCATGGATCCATGTCGGTAACATCAGCTGCTTTCAAACACCACTATTAATGCTATACCAAAGGACTCATATAATCAGAGCCCTTCAGATATACTACAAATACTACAAATATTTTTCAGTAGGTAAGTTTAGAACAGTTATTAAACTTCAGAAATATTGTGCTGACTGTGTACTACAGTGAAAAACAGGAACCTCCATTTATGAACGGATGGCAGACAGCACCAACACAAGTCAGTCACTTACCTTGAAGTCGTTGCATGACATTGGCAATATCTCTAGATCTTGCCACTAGTCGGGATGAGGCCATGATCTCTTTGCAGCGAGTCCACTTCCCCTGACAGAAGTCTCCCTCCAAGCTGCTGACCTCACTGAGATGAGAATCTCAGACGGCTTCCTTCTAGCGTTCAACCCTTAGCCCAGCATGCCTGGGGCAGTCAGACGCCTCTGGTCCAACGCCAGCCCTCACAGGGCTTGGGAACAGGGCTGACGAGCAACCTCAGCACCTGAGAAATAGAGTACCAAGGATCAGAGGAAACTTTTACCAGCTCTTCAAGGCTAAGAAGTCTTAATAGCTATTTTAACAAGTAAAGAGCGGGATATTTTGCCCATAGTACACACCCCAGCCAGAGACACAATTAATGCTGAAAGCTTGCTTGGCAATCATCAGTGGAATGAAGCTGCAAAAACAAATCATTAAAAACAATTGGCAATGCACCAGACATCAATGCTTTCCTGAGGATGCTTGTGGATGTTGTTTTAGAAATAACAATAACATTGTACATATTAAAAGCAATACTGTAATACCTGTTAATGTAAATAATATTAGGCGTAAAGGAGGAAAAATGAAACCACTTATAAAATCCTAAAGCTGTACAACTCTCATTCTATTTCACCATGCTAGAAAGGAGCACATGATAGTAGCTCATTGGTCAGGAAAATCCCTCACTTCACTGGACTATGTGCTCGAATCTGAAATACTGATATTCACATACTTGATTATTAAATAAAGTTGTCTTTACATTTACTTTTCTAGTGGATGATGATGTTGTATTTTGGGTCATTTAACATCAAAAACTGAACTAGAACTACTACATCAAATTAACACTGTTGTAACTATAATAAGGACTATGGGACTCTAAATCTGTTCTGAAAAAATCAAATCAGATTCTTCAGATAATGTTATCAGTAATATCTCATCTTCTGAGGAACAAGTACATGTTGTGTATGCACGCACCTGCTTCCCTGTTAAGAAAGAACTGAGCATATAGACACCAAGAATAATTGTATTTATACTCCACACAGTGGGTGCATCCCAAAGTCAAGATGACATGTGGTTGATCAATAGCATGAGCGGGTTATTGGCATTGTTCACTTTCCTTTTTTCCTGGCCCCAAGGTTTCTCAGACAAGAGAGTCCTCCAGCATCAGGCAGACAATCCCTTTAGGCTGTACTGCTTTAGGCACACCAACTGTCCCAAAGAAACTGTGTCAACACATAAGGGCTGCCAGAGGAAATCATGTTTCAACATTTCCCTTTCTGACCCTTCAAACCCTGCCTGACCCAAGGGACTCCCTGCTTTCCCTCTTATGGCCGTTTTTATTGTATGTTTGCTTTGTGTTTTGGATACGTAAGCGCTGCTCAGGTCAGCAGACCCATCTGGCTTTAAATTAGTGGAGCTGAGGGAAGCACACTTCTGATGGATCAAGGTGCAGAAGAGACCGTAAAGTCCATCTGCGTGCATGGGCTGTGCTCTTTTGTGCTATGGCCAGAGTAGTACCACTACCCACTGCAGCCACATTACCACTATTTTTGCATAAGACATTCAGACACTCACGTCCCCGCTCTCTTCCCATGAGTGCCTGCCCTCTCATTCAGGGACCTCCTCCCCTCCTTCTCTTTCCAAGCTTTGCCCTGCACCCTTCTTGGGTTGCACAGAGCTTGTGCATTATCAGTCACCATTTCTCAATCGCAGCAAGGGGTCCTGGCAGCTGGGAGGCCTCACCCTTATGACAGTTTGGCCCGAGAAGGTGCCACCATCACACCTCTCGGCTGCAGCGCCAGCTGGGGCGGATGGTCCCCTACCATTGCTGAATCACTGCACAGAGCATCAGCAACCAGAGCTCTCTTCCACAGCTGACACCAAAGAACGCCCAACTTGGTGGTCAGGGAGGAAGAAGAGGTTTTCTGTTGCTCATGCCAACACATAAGCTTCATGAACTTTGCTTCCTTTGCAATATTTAAATGAAACATCACGTTGTCTAACCCCAACCAAACCAGAAATATTTGTAACAAAGTGGGTTAAATGAAGCCTTGTTTCTGCGGCAGTGGCACTGCTAACATTTTAAGCACTAACCTAAGCAAGGTACAGTAACTTTTAATAGCAAGCTGCTAGACTAATTGTTGGGCAGAGATAAGGGGTATTAAAAATGCCTTGTCTGACTGGTTTTTGGCTAACAGCAGTAACAATATCAGAATACCAGCCCACTCGAACCATGACAGAGCTGGTGTTAAATCAGCTGTACATGAGCAGAGTTAGAGGAGCTGTGGAAAATGCTGATCCAACTTCAAGTTAAGAGTGTCTGGGAAACTGTAATGAAGATATATGTTCAATCTGCTCATACAGCAGGCTGAGTCACTGTCCAGCAATAAATGGCAGACTTGCAATTAATAATTTATCTATCTGATATTAAATTATATGCCGCATAATCTGCGGTTCTAAATGTGGCTCCTCATTCAAAAGCTCCTTTGCAAGCAGTGGGAATTAACTCATTTAAAAAGGACATGAAGTTACTATAGGTGGAAAGGTTCTTGTGTGCCATCACACAGTCGTCTCCACAGGCAGAAAACCACATCTCAGATCACAGCAAAGACATCAGCAGAACAGAATAAACAAAGCTTCACGCACCCTTCTCACCTGTCTTCAGCCAACATCTAAAGCTCCATAGCACAAGAAACCTACATGCAACAAGAAACGTACATGCACAGTCAACTATTCAATGTAATGCAAAGGGGAAATTTTCCAGCCTTCTACAAATAGTTAAGGCCTGCAACAAAAGATCTTTTTTCCTACTGAAAGAATATATTTTTCAGATTTGCAAACATTAAAATCTTAATTAAATATACTCATAGCTGTTACACAGGTCATTTGTAATAAATGGAATGACTTTTTCATTCCAGTGCCAGACACAAAGATGTATCTCCAGATGGATATGTTTTCACAATGCACAGGTTCTAAGAAAACTGTATGGCTTAAATCTCATAAATCCTAGCCTGAAATAAACCCGAGGGACTATATGAGCTATTCCCTACTTCAGCATTCAACAAGTGATTATTCATTATTATTAATTTTTTTTGGTCTGAACATACAGGGAATGAATACACAAGAGTGAAACAGAATTATTTTGCATATAAATGAGATTTTCTATTACATTTGCCACTTATCTGGATTTAATGGATAAAGTTATGCTGACACCATTTTCTTATATTAATACCCTGGTACTCTGTTTTTAGATGAAAAGAGGAAACTTGAACTTCTTCTCTCATATCAAAGCCATTAGGCCTAGCAATCTCTATACTAATGTGCAGTTAGCCATTCTCTGGATTGTATTGTTCCTCTCTTCAAATGCCAGAAAAGTAGGATGTCTGTTCTATGGAAGATAGAAGAAAAACACTAGATCTATTTTGGGTTAACTTTTCTGGGTCCTCAGTGTCATTCTTACTTTTTCATTGTGATGGGGACTGCTTTGAATTATCTGCAATTAAAAAAAAAGATAGTATATTTTCCTTTTATTGGTAAACCGAGAGTACCACTGGCAAGAGCAGGTTGTATTTTATCTTTCAGTTGTTAATGTTTATAAAAACATATTAAAGGAAAACAGACAGGCCTGGTTCCAGAAAACCAGAGAGATGCCTGCTAGGTGCCAACAACATCGAAGATGTGCAGCAACGGCTTAAGATCAACCTGACCAAAAAAAAAAAAAAAAAAATTTCTCTGACTGTCCTTCACGTCAGCAGAAATTGCAGATTCCCAGTACACTGGGTTGATGCCACATATAGCAGCCTGGGGAAGATTGCTACTGATGCCAAAGTATGGTCGTACCTGAAAACAGAAATTTAGACTTCTATAATCTCCCATTACAGCAGCAATGGATAAAGAAACTCCAGACAAACAAGGATAAATGCAAATAAAATATTTATTGATGTGAGCAAGAAATAGGTGGCAGGCAGTGAAGAGACTGTTTCTAATCCGGGACATATCAAAAAACAATTCAAGGAACTCCTGCAGCCAGAAGTAATTTTCAAGTGTTATACAGATATAAGAAATACAGTGGAATAACTAAAGTAACTAGAGCACACAAACGGAACAGAATCTCAGGAATGACAGAAGTAAGGTCAAGTGCTGGAGTGCCATTATATGTTAAAGAGGCAGACTTCCCTGCTAAGAAACAGTGGCACAGAACTGATGAAGTCAAAAAACATGCCCAGGAAAGAATTTCCAAGCATGGTTTACTGCTGTAGTGCTAGAGGTCCACTTTGATCCACAGGTTCTCTTTCTGAAACACAAGAGGTCTTAGAAATGCTGCCAGAGTGATGGACACTGCTGGATTGGATGCGATTCTATGAGGCAGCAGTGATCCTCATGTCAATCGGGAATAAATGTTTCACATAAAGGTGGGAACCAGAATTTTATGGAGGTCACAACTGCATTTTTAAACCTCAAATAATCATAGAAGCATCTGGTTTAGGTCAGGTTTTAGTTAGTAGTGGGGGGAAAAAAAAAAAAAAGCTAATCACATAAAATAGCTTGTCTAAGGAAGTGATTGATGTAGTCCAAACCATTAGAAGAATAACCCAAAGCATGTACGCAGGTCAGGAGGTGATCTAAAGACACAGTGCTTAACAAATAAATAAAAGGGAAATAAGTTACAGAAGTCAACTAGACTGAAAAGCACAGCGTCTCTCCTGTGAAGCATGCTGGGGATTCCTTTAAGTCCAAGGTCCAGTGACTGTAGACCTGTGCAGCACAGAATAGTACTGCTCCAGAGGTAATTGGAAAAGCCATCACTCAGAAATAAGTGGGCAGAAATAAAGGATGAGAAGTCAAGCGCTCTGCCAGTGTGTGCTGTCTACAGGGATGAAGAGAGAGACTTGCTGAAAGACCAGCTGAGCTAGACTAAGGAAGACAAGACAGCCATCAAACAGTTCTTAGCCAGATAAGCAAAAAGTAAGCAGAAAGTAAGACCAAGTGGGAATTAATTTGCCTCAGTATTATACTGATTTTTCCACTGAAGACAATTCTGATAGACAAAAGCACAACAGAAATGGGAAGAGCACCATCTGAAACAAAATCAAAGTTAAAAGTGGAAAAACTTGATAAAATTCATCCCAGAATACTGAAAACTTGTACCTGACGAATTGAGAACGCATTTGTAAACTTCTTTGAATGAATCTGTCAAGCTGCAGGTAATGCCTACTGGATATATTAAAATGAGGAGCCAG